GGATATCTGGTTAGATCACAAGACTGGAGTAGAGAGCACTATGAATTGTTCGTCACGAGCGCAGTAAGTGAAATTTAAAACTGTTAAAAGAAAAGGCTCAAACTAATGCACATATTTAATACAATAGTGACTACACATCAATATCTCTTCACTTTGTGCTTTGTACTTCTCTATGTGGAGCGCTGCGACTCCGTGTTGCTGCAAGCGCATCATTCTGCGCAAGGGATGCGCATAAGCGCTTTGTGCCGCTCTGTATTTGGAGCCTTTAGTATTATAATACTTTTGCGCAATGAAAGATTAATAATAGCCTTTCTTGTTCATCTGATCTCATATGTTGCTGCCTCATTACTCTGCTATACATTTAAAAGAAATGTCTTTTAATTTATACAGTAGTCAACATTTGAAGTGGATCAAAAAAGTTAATCAAAGTTGTCCTAAGACAAGAACGGGTATTATTTTGGTTTTAGGACAACTTTGATGAAAGGTTTTGATCCACTTCAAATGTTGACTACTATAATATATATTTATATATTACTTGATTTTCATGAATGTATTTTACAACAATACAAAGAGCAATGTGTAGGCCTACCAGATTTAGTCCTACACTTAATCACAGCAACATATGATAGATAGAACAGAAAAAAAAGACTATTAATAATCTTTCATTGAGCAAAAGTATAATATGAAAGGGTATGACTCCAATACAGAGCGGCACAAAGCGCTTATGCGCATCCCGTGTGCAGAATGATGCGCTTGAAGCAAAATGGAGTCAACAGTGTGCAGCGCTCCTCATAAAAAAAGGGAAGAGATATTGATGCGTAATAGTGTTGTCAAAGTACCAAAATTTCAGTATTCGGTACCAATACCCGTGAAAATCCACGGTTTTCGGTACCAAAGCAAAACACAAAAGCATGCTAATAAAATTTTTTGACTACTTTAATTTAATCCAAAATGTGTACATATTTAATTTTAAAGGGATTTTGAAACCTAGAGCTATTCAGCCAAGAATAGATAGCTTAATAGCTTAAAAAATTTAAAATAAAAAGCCCAGAACTTCTGACTGATATGACACAAACAATGTTAACCATTTTCTAACACACTAACACACATATTTTAGATTCACAATTAATTTAAAAGCCTCTGGAGTGTAAAAATAGTAAATATCATGTCCTCCTGTTTTTTTACCCTAATAAAAGTTATAGGAGCATTAAATAGTTAAAGAAACTTCATTCATATGCTCATTATATTAGCATTAGCCGCGCTTATGCTAACGATTAACTACTCCAATAACAGTGTTCATTTCAATCCGACATTCAAATTAAAATATTGAATAATATGCAGTGTTTCCCCCAGAACCTGCACTCTATCTGTGGCGGCATATATATGCAAATTCATTCTCTGCCAGCAGGAGGCGCTTGTAGAGCACGAGAGATCAGGTTTCCCTGTAACGCTGTACACAAAGCAGCGCTCAGCTCACAAACGCTGCTCAGGCATTACAGGCAAGATGAAATGAAAATGACATCCATAATTTTCTGAAGACAGTCGTTTCCTTCAGAAATACAGTGATATAAAAACACCCGCACCGGGTTTCGACTTTGACACGTGCAGTGCTCATGATTATTCAACAAAGTCAAAGCCTTTTGGAAAATCTATTTGTGGCTGTGGGTTTTGATATTGTGGTGGGCCGCCTCAAATAAATCAATGTATGGGAAACACAAATATAAAAAATTAAACAAACTTACCTGCTTGAACTCTTTCATTTAATGTGGGTGTCTTTAAAGTGTTTTGTTAGTTTGGTGTGTTTCCTCGTTCTGAGGTCGCCACGTCTCAGTGCTTTTATGAAGAGAGCGCATCTGCGCACCTTTCGGATAGCGCATCAAGAACCGGGTTGACCGTGTACTCGGTACCACCGGTACTTAAAAAAAACCTGGTACCGTAACATTTTCATTTTTTTTAGTACCGACTTGGTACCGAAGTACAGCGTCTTTTGACAACACTAATGTATATTATATCTGTGCGATATTTTATTAAGCCTTTTCTTTTAACTGTTTTAAATCTCAGTTATTGTGCACTCTTGAAGAGAGTTTCAACGTTTTGACTGTAGTAACCGAATGTGACACGCAGTCTGAATGCTGAATGGAGGATGACAGACAGACACAGCGGGGAGAAGAGTTTGTGAACTTGACTTAAATATTCATTTATACTTCACATTAAACTATGGAACGGCTTCAGAACACTTAAAATCTAGAGCACAAAAACTTTATGGTGCTTTATAATGTTTTTGTGCCTTTCGTGGGGCTTAACAATAACACAGTAGTATACGCACTATATCGGATTTGGATCGATCTCGTCTGACCGATACATGATCCGGCAGAAAATGCCATTATCGAAGCCGATACCGATACTGAGTATCGGATCGATCCATCCCGATTGAAAACAGTTGTGCTGCTTAATATTTTTGTAAAAACTGATTTTTTAAAAATAGAACATTTTAAAACAACAGCATTTATTAGAAATGCCATAAAAGTATTAACTAACACTTTAATTTAATGCATACTGGCTGAGTATTAATTTATTTTTAAAAAATCTTACTGAAAAAAAAAATGGATGAAATCAATTGTTTTTCAAATGAATCAAAAGGTTTCTTAAATGGACTGAACATTCAAAACACAAAAAGCTTAAACATATATACATGAGCTTATGGATTATAAATCAAAACAGCAGATTGAAGTGTGCATGCATACAAACATTATTATAGCATGTTTTATGTACCTGTGTCCTGCTGAAGCACCCAACACTTGAGTTCTATGACTGAATGTGCAAAGGAGCAACTGTCCTCTCGCTGGCAGCCATATCGCACCTCATGGCGGCACACGTCAAACTGGCAGAGTGGGTGAAGAGAGCGCACTTTACTGTAGCGCACGTTTGCTGAGCGAACCACGTGCACCAGGCACCTGTTAGACACAAACATTTGAGAGGGGATATGATGCGATGGCTGTTTAAGTGCTGCAAAATCATATTAGTGATCCAAGTCTCAATGCGGCAAAAAAAGACTCACTTGTTATCATCAAAGGGATGTCGTGCAGTGAGGTTGGAACACACAGCGAGATTCTCCTTGCTTCTCTTGCTAATGATACGAGGCTTACTGTCAAAACATTCCTACAGGAAGCCAGAGGCCAGAATAATCACTTGGACAACATATCAAAGCAAGAATGTAACATATCTAGCTGAGACAGACATTAAATATGAAGGTGCACATTACCTCACAGAGGAACATAAACATGCCCATATGGAGCTGAAGGAGACGGGTGACACTGAGGGCCCGTCGTTCGTTGGTACCCAGAGGGTCAAACAGAAGCTCACGACTTAGAGCTCCCTTCCTCTCTTGTGTCCAAACATCTATCTCCTCTTGGCAATAGGCAAAAGTGCAGTTTTCACCATACTGACACTCCTGACGCTCTTGTACCTCTGGAAAGAGAGAATGATCAATGAGCTTAATTATTCAATCTTATCATTATGAAATTATAAATTATCATAATATTACATACATGTACATATCATTTTTTTTAACAAAAACAATTAAATCTTGATTATCTGTTTCCAGCATGAGTAGATTCTAGAGGAGTTAAACGTTGGGCAAACAGCAAATTGATTCGATCCACAATTCACATGTTTTTGATTTGCACATTTGGATTTCACAAATTCAGAATAATTAGATTTAATGCTGCTCACAATGAATTCTATTCAATTATAGATTTGATTCTATATTTTTAGTGCATTCGTAAGATTATGTAAATGCTTCTCCTAATGCGTCTTTAGTTAAAAAACGACTTAATTATTACAGTTTAAAGTAAACACTGAACACATGTACATACAGGCTATTTGGATATATATCAAAGAGTGCAATGTGCTGATAAAATATTTTAGAACTGAACAAACCTAGGAAAACATTCCATATGTCTTTTAAATATTTTCTTTCCATGAGTTTTCTGGTACTGAATGTGCCCATTTTTAAATTCCCTATTACTTTCCAGGTTTTTCCCTATATCCTAAGACCCCTCAATGTCTTCTGCTCTCCCATGTAAACAATTATACCACTAAAACAACAGTATTTTATCTTACAGAAAATAGCAATACGATTTTTATAATATGAAATCATTTAATATTTTTAGTAGCAGTGGCCACGCAATGAACTGGTAGCTTTCATCAACGGGTTGTGAGCATTTGGTTGTAAGACCACAGCACTATTGTAGAGAGCCGTCATTTGCTCATATGACTGCGAGTAACAGGCCTGAGGAACGATCACACAAAAAGTACTCAGAAAACATGTCAATGAGAGTTACTGATGGAACGGAAAGCGAGCACAATTCAGTGAAAGGCACGTGTCTGCGAGGGAGAGCTGTCAGGATGTGAATCATGCCACAATCATGTGTATGCAAGTAATTTAATGTGTATATATTTAAAAATATTGAACTGAATCACAATTCATTTGATTTTTAATATTTTAAAAGGATTATTGGCCGAAAAAATGCAAGATTCATCATGCATCAGCATGCGAGTCGTTAGACCACTAACCGACTTTAACACTGGCCACAACCATTTTAGAATAATGTACATCCCAAACATCTATTCAGTACATAATTTCCACAATTCTTCAATAAACACTGAGCCATACCTTTGCAGAGAACAAAGGCCCCAAGGAAGTTATTACGAGCAGGACGGGGCCGCACCCTCTTCCAGGTGGGGTCATCTGAGGATTTCAGGCGACAGAGCAGCACATCTCTCTTACAGCGATGCGCTGCATCAGGTTGATAATGGTAGTCCATCACCCGTGACCCTTATACAGAAAAAAAATTCACTTCTTTCAGACAGGTACAACATGTTTAGGAATAGTTCTTATTTTTCATATCACACAGTTAAGAGGTACAATACCTATGCGACTGTAGCAAGCATTGCACGCCTGTCTGAACTCATGTGTGGCAGCCAGAGGGTTTCGTGACAGCAGAGAAAGATTGGTACCAACTGGTCCATTCTGCTGAAAGCAAGAACAATTCTTTGAGTAGGTGATAGATAGCAAACCGTTTTTTTCCAAACATTTAAAGTTGCATACAAAGCAGACATATTGAGTAAGACTGAGCAGTTTACAAGTACAGAACAGTTTAAACTCACTGCATTGGAGGCATTATGATTCCGCAAACTGGGGATGAAACTGTGAGACATTCGTCCTCCTAAGATTAATAAAGAAAGTAAAATGAATGTAATAAAAAAAGACTTGATTTATCAATATTGAACTATTGTAATGTCAAGATTTTTTATATATTATTTAAATAAAGGTAATATTATTTAATGCTTCCATGCTAAGTAAAATAACTAATTTCTTTCCAAAACACCAAACGTTTGAATGGCAGTGTGTATCACATTTCAAACACTCACCAGGAAGTGTGTACTCGGAAAGGGAATCCAGTCCTCCTGTGATTAGTGATCCAGACCCCCCTTTCCCAGCAGCGTCTCCAGCTCCAGAGCTAAAGGAGCCGAGGGAGTCCATCGTCTGGGAAGAGGCTTCGCTTTGACCTAGAACTGAGGAGGACTCCAGTGGGGGGAGCGGACTGACAGCAGAGTTGAAATATTGAGTCGTGAGCTGAGCGGAGGATGCTGGGAGACCTGGAGAGTACGGAGGCCTCAAACCCACAGCAGTGTTTGGTAGGTTAGTGGGAATACCTCTGGAAAGAGAGAATGATCAATGAGCTTAATTATTCAATCTTATCATTATGAAATTATAAATTATCATAATATTACATACATGTACATATCATTTTTTTTAACAAAAACAATTAAATCTTGATTATCTGTTTCCAGCATGAGTAGATTCTAGAGGAGTTAAACGTTGGGCAAACAGCAAATTGATTCGATCCACAATTCACATGTTTTTGATTTGCACATTTGGATTTCACAAATTCAGAATAATTAGATTTAATGCTGCTCACAATGAATTCTATTCAATTATAGATTTGATTCTATATTTTTAGTGCATTCGTAAGATTATGTAAATGCTTCTCCTAATGCGTCTTTAGTTAAAAAACGACTTAATTATTACAGTTTAAAGTAAACACTGAACACATGTACATACAGGCTATTTGGATATATATCAAAGAGTGCAATGTGCTGATAAAATATTTTAGAACTGAACAAACCTAGGAAAACATTCCATATGTCTTTTAAATATTTTCTTTCCATGAGTTTTCTGGTACTGAATGTGCCCATTTTTAAATTCCCTATTACTTTCCAGGTTTTTCCCTATATCCTAAGACCCCTCAATGTCTTCTGCTCTCCCATGTAAACAATTATACCACTAAAACAACAGTATTTTATCTTACAGAAAATAGCAATACGATTTTTATAATATGAAATCATTTAATATTTTTAGTAGCAGTGGCCACGCAATGAACTGGTAGCTTTCATCAACGGGTTGTGAGCATTTGGTTGTAAGACCACAGCACTATTGTAGAGAGCCGTCATTTGCTCATATGACTGCGAGTAACAGGCCTGAGGAACGATCACACAAAAAGTACTCAGAAAACATGTCAATGAGAGTTACTGATGGAACGGAAAGCGAGCACAATTCAGTGAAAGGCACGTGTCTGCGAGGGAGAGCTGTCAGGATGTGAATCATGCCACAATCATGTGTATGCAAGTAATTTAATGTGTATATATTTAAAAATATTGAACTGAATCACAATTCATTTGATTTTTAATATTTTAAAAGGATTATTGGCCGAAAAAATGCAAGATTCATCATGCATCAGCATGCGAGTCGTTAGACCACTAACCGACTTTAACACTGGCCACAACCATTTTAGAATAATGTACATCCCAAACATCTATTCAGTACATAATTTCCACAATTCTTCAATAAACACTGAGCCATACCTTTGCAAAGAACAAATGCCCCAAGAAAGTTATTACGAGCAGGACGGGGTCGCACCCTCTTCCAGGTGGGGTCATCTGAGGATTTGAGGCGGCAGAGCAGCACATCTCTCTTACAGCGATGCGCGGCATCAGGTTGATAATAATAGTCCATGACCCGTGGCCCTAATTTTGAAAAGATTCACTTTTTTTCAGACAGGTACAACATGTTTAGGAATAGTTCTTATTTTTCATATCACACAGTTAAGAGGTACAATACCTATGCGACTGTAGCAAGCATTGCACGCCTGTCTGAACTCATGTGTGGCAGCCAGAGGGTTTCGTGACAGCAGAGAAAGATTGGTACCAACTGGTCCATTCTGCTGAAAGCAAGAACAATTCTTTGAGTAGGTGATAGATAGCAAACCGTTTTTTTCCAAACATTTAAAGTTGCATACAAAGCAGACATATTGAGTAAGACTGAGCAGTTTACAAGTACAGAACAGTTTAAACTCACTGCATTGGAGGCATTATGATTCCGCAAACTGGGGATGAAACTGTGAGACATTCGTCCTCCTAAGATTAATAAAGAAAGTAAAATGAATGTAATAAAAAAAGACTTGATTTATCAATATTGAACTATTGTAATGTCAAGATTTTTTATATATTATTTAAATAAAGGTAATATTATTTAATGCTTCCATGCTAAGTAAAATAACTATTTCTTTCCAAAACACCAAACGTTTGAATGGCAGTGTGTATCACATTTCAAACACTCACCAGGAAGTGTGTACTCGGAAAGGGAATCCAGTCCTCCTGTGATTAGTGATCCAGACCCCCCCTTCCCAGCAGCGTCTCCAGCTCCAGAGCTAAAGGAGCCGAGGGAGTCCATCGTCTGGGAAGAGGCTTCGCTTTGACCTAGAACTGAGGAGGACTCCAGTGGGGGGAGCGGACTGACAGCAGAGTTGAAATATTGAGTCGTGAGCTGAGCGGAGGATGCTGGGAGACCTGGAGAGTACGGAGGCCTCAAACCCACAGCAGTGTTTGGTAGGTTAGTGGGAATGGCCCCTTGAACTGGGTTCTGATGGATAGATAAGAAAGTCAGTACTTTTACATTGATCAATCCAGTATTGAGCAACTATATCCCACTGTTCCTCCCTACAGCTCTCTATTTCACTCACCACACAGATCTCAGCTCCTTTGGGAATACTTTCCAGCAAGGTGTCCAGACATGAGGTGTCCTCATTCATCACACATTCACCCATGTGTTCAGATACAGGCACAGAGTACGGCACCCGCCCCGATGGCTCCTGGCTTGGGCTTTCTGGCATATCTTGGGGCACAACTGGGCTCAGTGAGGGCATCTGTGGGTCATCACTTACTGGGATTGGTGTAGCCAGAGGAGCAGGGATGCACTGGGCACTTGTTAAATCTGTGGGATAAAGATGAGAACACTGAACCATCCAATTAATTTTTGCTTAATGAATATCCATAAATGTACTCATATTTTAATTAGATTTTTAAATACTGGTGTATGTATATTTGAAGTTCATTTGCAAAAACCGATAAACGGCACTTTAAAAAACAAATGGAGCTGATTGCCGTGCATTATTCTCCACATATAGCATGGTCTGAACCCTAAACACATTTTGTCAAAAAAGCCGGTTTTGTCCACTTTCAAGGCATCGTGAGTTCACGTTTTACTGCAGAAGCCGACAAGCGCCCTTGTTGTTTTTGAACAGAAGCCGACAAGTCCATTTAGGCAAATCAGCACGCTGTATTCAGGTCAGGTGACAAGGCTACTTTCACTTTGAAAAGACGTGCTAGCTGAGAGGAGTTTTGTCTAAGCTGACTAAGTGATCGAGGATGGATCATTTGGACGAACTTGAGGAACCTGTGATATCTTCTTCAGGGCGAAAAAGGAAAATAAAAGCTGAAACGTTTTCACGGAACCTTGCAAAAGCAACGCGTTACAATGGTGAGGGGAAAGCTCAGTGTATTGCGTGTAATCACATCCATACAGTTTATGATCACAACAAC